TCAGCGATACTGAACGTCTGCAGAGTTTTTACTTCCTTCACAGCAAATTAAAGCGTCACACAGGAGGCCAAACCCACCTTTGTACACTGATTACAATCCCTCAACTGGCAGATCTGTGAAAGGGGAGGAGGCAGGACTCTGTTGGAGAGGAGGGAGGGTTATCAGTGTTGGTCTAATTCTAACCGTTTTGCAGCATGTTACACTTAAATCTACATTAAGTGAGTTCTTTTCAATTGTATGTGTGAGCCGTTCACATTGTTCTTCATTTTTGGACTTGAGCAAAGCTTGTTGCTGTAAAAAGTCCATTTCAGTGTCTGCCAGTGAGATCTTTATCCGTTTCAGGTTGTCCTGCCCTGACATGGTGAGATTCCTGCATACAGCTTATTCAAGTTCAGCAACATTCAGAGTTAGTGATGCATCAACCTTCAAATGCACAGTGAACCAGGCAGGCTAAGCTCTATATTGACGTCTTATTGCCTTGTTTAAGTGAATGTGATTTTGCATACGTTGGGAAATTCAGTTTTTTCTCCCTGAATGAACATGAACTGGGTCAGACTGGTATATTTAATGTTTCTACTGTCTTATCTTGTTGTGACCTCTCATGAAGTGACACCTACCAAACCCACAGTAACCATTCATCACAGTCACACACTCAGGGTTGTTGTCATCCTGTTATTGTGGGCGTGTGCAGCTGGACGGACGGAGTTTTTATGGAAGTTTCTCAGCTTAAAAACTGATTCTGAACAAACTAAAGACTTTTAGAGCCTCCGTCAGCTTTTTAAACTCTCTGGAGGTTTTCCAGGAGAGCTTGTGTGTTTATAGCAGCAGGTGGAAATCATCATCAGTTCTGACTGGAGACGGTAACTTGATGTATTTTGTCAGTTCTGCTTTGACATGACAACAAAACAGCACCACCTTCAGGTCAAATCGGACATTACAACATGGAGCTCTGTAGTTCCTGAATGCTGCTGTTGGAAATAAATATTCATCTCCTTTGCACACTGAGCATAAAAACAATGCTTTTAATCCTTTTTAACCTTGGACACCAGGATGCAGGTAAAGACAAACAGTTCTGTGACAAACACATTAAACCAGTAAATGATGCTTGTTCAGTGATTTCAAGCACAGATTCATTTCATCCACACAGTCAGTGTGTTTGACTCACAACATCAGCTACAGACAATAAAACATTGACATTACAGTTTACATGACAGCATCTGGACAGCACCTTAGACAACATTTGTTCTGCCAAACCAATCAGAGTAAATGTAATTATAGATTTCATATTTTATGTGACCCACAGAGTCAAAGAGAAAGAACAACATACAGACACTCAGTAAACATGTGGAGCATAAAGACGTTGAGATTTTCATGTGGACAAGATGAATTAAAGTCATGATGACAGACACCCAAACAAACGGCAACACCAACAAACCAACAGACGATCAGATGTCAGAGGCCAAGTCAGCTGGAAAGTAAAACACATTTCAAGCCGCTGTGCCTTAAAAGAACCTCTGTCTATTTGAGTTTAATGAACTCAACAGTGTCATCAATAATCCAAAGATAAAGTCCAGCAAGTAGCGGCTGAGTGAACGTGGTCTGGACTCTGTGGAGGAGAGTCATGGTGTCAGAGACGCTGTAGAAAGACAGAACACCTGCTCTGTGGTCCAGATAAACTCCTATTGTGGAGGAAAGACGACCTGAGACGGGAGTTTGGATGTTGTTGTGCCGAAATGTAAAACCGGTTTGGTGACAGCGCAAAGCCCAAGATTTATGAGTT